ATAATGGAGCGATACATCTATGTGCTTTATTCTCCTTCCGCTGTGCTAGGTTTGTTGGGGGGTTTTTTTAACCCCAAAAATGTGGAAGATCGGAGAGCTGGAGAAAGGCCGGGTTCAATCTTATGTGCAATCGTTAATTTTCTTTCTTACAGGGGGGGGATCCCTGTGTCAGTACTGTGCTAACACTGCATCTTTTAACATCCCTCCAATCGCTTTAGGCCAAGCGAGCATTAATAAAACAAACTGACTTGAACAGATGCAAGGCAGTCACAAAACAGGGGGAGGCAAGTCTCTGTACTGATCCCCAAAGCTTCTTTGTTTTTTTTTGTTTTTTTTCTGCTCGTTCTTCCCCTTAGGAAAAAAAAATGCTTCAATTAAATTTCAGCTCAAATGCATGAAAGTATCTAGAGGGAAAGTATTATTTAGTTTACTGATGCAGTGATGTGCTTCTCCCAGATTGTAGCTCTGCTACAAAGGGGTTCACAACTTAAATTACTCCAAGGGCCACTTTTTCATTTTTATTAATGCAGGAGGGTGGCATTGCTATGGTTACCAGGGGGAAAGAAACCTTTTTTGGTTGCAATTTTTAGCTCTGCATTATTTTTTAACTAACACACACACACACACACACACACACACACACACATATTGGGACAACAAATCTACTCTGTACCCCCACTGAATAGATGCACCTTAATCTCTTAGCTGCCCCCTCCTATTTCTCCACCCCAAAGGTTGTTCTGCCCTTTCCTTCTTTAGTCTACACAAAGTGATCTCTTCTGTCACTGAACCCCATAACAGCTCGATCCAGCTGTTCTGTTCCATGGTTCTGCCATGGAATGTCTCTACTAAGGGAGGAGAAATTGCCTTCTAACTGATTTTAAATGTGGGCCAATGAGCAATGCCTCTGATGCTGATTTTAAGGAACGGATGGGTTCAACAGGAGGAGGAGGAGGAGGAGGAGGAGGAGGAGAAGCTGGCCATTGAAACCACACTGCGCTTGGCTCAGTGCTTGGGCCTAATTATTTTGAACATTTGGGGAGCCGAAAAGGGTAGGGCCTCCAGGAGTTGGCGCCCCTCACTCTAAGAATTGTAGTTCTGTGAGGCGGAATAGGATTTTGCTACCAAGTCTCAGCACCCTAAACTACACTTCCCAGAATACTTTGAGAGAAGCCATGACTGTTTAAAATGGCATCATACTGCTGCGAATAACATGATCCCAGACTATTGCATCTGGTCAACTTGCTTTGTGTTATGTGGCTGTTGCTTCTCCTACTATTTATTATTACTAATAGTAGTATTGGCAATAATATTCTTATTAATCACATAAAGCTGAATGCACACAAGTTAAATGTGGCTAAGTTGCAAGTTACCTGTATGCATACATAAAATCTATTAAAGCCACGCAAATAACTACAATAAAAACAACACACCACCAGCTCTTTCATTAAAATCAGTCAGTTCCCCAAAGCCTGCTGGTTTTATTTTTTTAATCTTAATTTTAATTAGATTTTTCAGAGCTTTTAACAAATTTACTACACGTACAATATATCATTCACTTACGTTTTTTCTTATTTTCTTATTTATTTATTGAGGCAGTGACAGGCAGTGGAGGTGGGTCAATTTGTGTGAATGGGGCATTGTCCCACCAAGCTCAGTGTGCCCTTAGCCAACCCCCAACTCTTTACTTATAACTAATCTTGGGGGCAGCTGCCACTAGTTCTCAGCCTTCTCCTCCTTAGTCTTTATGTTCGCTTCGTAGAACTTAGCTGGGAGGAGAATGGGAGCAAAACCAGAATTAGTTGGCTCCGTGTATCATCAGTTCTGGCCCTACCAGTTATTGGCTGTAGTGCCATCTGCTGTTGGCCTCCCTGCTTTCTGCCCTACCAGTCCCAATGAGCACCAACCTCCACTGATGAAAGGATCTTATAGTCAAAAGGTGAGGTGGTTCAAACATACTTTAAAGAAATTGATATATTGTGGGCCAGAAGTCAGCCCCTTTGGTTCTCTAGTCTTATGATCCTTCCATTTAGCCTGACAAGCTGTTTTCCCCTTGCTTTGACATGATAAATTTCTACAGGCCTCTATCAGGCAACTTTTTTTTTTAATCTGGCAAAATCAATTACAAACCTTGCAAGCTGCAATTACCTTGGGAACTCCTGAAAAACTAATTAGTACAAGTCCTAACAAGTTATACCTTTCCTTTAGACTTTTATGGAGAAAGAGAAGGAAATGTGAACTCAGAAAAAGGAAGCTTATCAAGGAAATAGTCATCACAAACAGAATCTTGGAGACAACTATTAATTGTTTCTCTGTAATAAACAGTGTTTATTTATAGGGTGTTTGCCACAGCTCTGAACCAGAAATCTATACAGATGGGCTGATGATAAAAAAATAAAATAAAAGATGGGCTGATGATGATGAATGCTTTGCAGAGAGGAGCAATCATTGGATGAGGTGCTATGATGTCATGGGATGTTCATAAACTTATTCATTAATAAGGGGGACTTGTGTTGGATATAGGAAGCAGATATAGGGGAAATATCTGAAAGGCTATATGGTGGCCACCCTCTTTTAAATTGATTTCTACACTTGTTAAGAAGCAATCACTTAAATTAATCTGACTCCAGTGCATTTATGTCATATTTGTTTCTTGGTTTCCTCTCTTGGTTGGTGGAGGTCTTCTACCAATGGACCTTATATTCACTTTTGATGGGAGTTTCAAGCCATAACCAGATTTTGGGATGATGTTTTACACTGAGTTATTAAAATTCTGAATATTACAGTGGTTAAAGGCCACAGTTTGGTCTTGCTATCATTATTCTGAGGAGCAAGTAAAGATACATATTTTTAAGCCGTTAATAATCCATTTCCTGTCTGGTTGGAGATTGCATTCTTATGGAGAAGAGATCATTTGTTAACTACACAGAGCTGGTACAGCAGAGTTTTTGAGATGTGGATAGCGCTGTGGTCTAAATTAGTGAGCCTTTTGGGCTTGCAGACTAGAAGGTCAGCGGTTCAAATCCATGTGATGGGGTGAGCTCCCGTTGCTTTGTCCCAGCCTCTCCCAGCCTAGCAGTGCAAGTAGGTACCACTGTGGTGTGAAGGTAAATGGCATTTCCGTGTGCTCTGGTATGTGTCATGGTGTCCCGTCATGCCAGAAGTGGTTTAGTCATGCTGGTCACATGACCCGGAAAGCTGTCTGTGGACAAACACCGGCTCCCTTAGCCTGAAAAGCAAGATGATCGCCACACCCCATAGTCGCCTTTGATTGGACTTAACCATCCAGGGGTCCTTTACCTTTACTACAATAAGGTTTGCAAGATGGCACTTGTAGACAAACTAACACAACATTGCAGAGTAGCCAGAGGTGATATTCAACAAGATAAATTTTATGATAACCAGTCACCTTTCCTTCCTTTCATCAATTTCTCAACAGAAGAACCAATAATACCCCCCTTTTGGGGGATGTATGCTATCCTGAACTTTTTCTCGATATTCCACATTTTCTTTAATTGACATCATGTCACTGATGCGAAGATTTAAAGGACATTGTTGTTAACTTTGTAAGTCTGCTGTTTGTTTGGCATTTATAGATATATTCTTTCCAAAGTGTGTAATGAGGACACACAAGGTTCATTTATGTATTTCTTTCTCTCGGTGTGATATTTGAAATGTTTGGCTTGTTTTATATTGGTTTGTTTATTTTAATGTTTTGTCTGATAAAAAAGAATGTTCACAAACATTACAACTTAATTGTAGAAAGCTGCCAGCAATATAATATATCACCAGGAAACAATGAAGATTGTGAGAAAATTGTAACGTCGATTTGGCTGAGGGAAACCTCATCGAGACTCCTCCATGGCTGTTGTTCTGGGCTGTTCCTGAGTTTCTGGGGGCTGCAGCTCGTCCTGAAGTAGTTCTTCATCATCAGAAGAAGAGGGAGTGCTATCTGTAGCTCAATGGTAGAGCATTGGCCTTGCACACTGTCTCAGGTTCAATGCCTGGAGTCTCTAGGTAGTGCAGGAAGGAAAACTATGGAGAGCCACTACCGGTCCGTGTAGACAATGCTGAGCAAGATATTCTGGTGTTCAAATGCAGAAGAGCACTGAAGCTTGAGAGCTTAGCGTACATAGCATGAACTGAATGTTTATGCCAGCATTTAACATAAAAGAGCCTTTTCTAGAAGAGTGAGAGAGATGGGGGAGGGGGTGTTTGACTTAGGAATAAATAACAGCCCCAATGGGTCTGTCTTTTCTCTTGTTTTTGGTTATGTCAGCAGGAACGCTGGGCTCCTACTCATACAAAGCAGCTTTTCAAGAACACAAGCAAACAAACAAATATGCGCACACACATACATACAAAGCAGAACTAATTAAGATCAAGTCATCTCTCAATAAATATGCAAATTAAAAATCAAAACAAAGGATTTCTATTTATCACATCATAAAGTTGCAAATTGCTGCTGAGGCTCCCATAGACCTCACTAGATGGGGGTTATGGGACAGTAGGCGTTAAATGTGCAGCGGGGCAATCAATTCCTATGTATCTGTGTGCATTGCTTGAATGTGGTTTTATTTCATTTTCCTGCTGAGCAAGGGCTCCCTAGCCACACACACACACACACACACACACACACACACACACACACAGAGCAAACTCAGCTTTCCCAATTACGTATTGGAAACCTGAATCCAAAACAGAGAGGATGTTCAGCTCGAACTACTGTAATGGGGCTTTCTCCAGAAGTTCAGGCCACAGTAACACACTGATGCTTGGCCAAAGCAGCTACCAGATTTCTTCTAAAACAGGATCGTAGAATCATAGAATTGAATCATGCAGAAATGTGGAGAACTGATTAGAAAAATGAGAATTTTTCAATTTCTGGCCATTCTATCAGTCCCCTCCCACATACTAACATGTGCTGTGATCTCTTATCAAGTGTTTTGCTGCCTGCATTCAATTCTCTTTATGTCTCTCTCTTTGCAATTCTGTGGCAGAAGCAGCAGCAGCAACGGCAACCTGGAGACGGACGATGAACTTCCCTTTGGGGATGAAGTGGATTATAACACAGACAGCTGCTCTGACCAGGAAGGAGACTTTTCAGAGCTGGACAAAGAGATCTAGGAGTATCGCTCCAGGGCTGAAGGAGTCAAAGAAGAATCAGAAGCCAATAGAGGAAAGATGTATGACACTGACACACACACACACGTCACATGGAGGACTTTCTACATCTTGAGTCAGCCCAAGCAGCCAGCTTCTCCCATTGCTGTCAATAATGCTTGGGGTCTTCAGCTGACTGGAGAGCAGGCCCAAGCCATCAATCCTCAAGCAATGAGCAGGCAGCTCACAGCTTGCATCTGCTTCTTATGTGGTGACAGTTCCAATCCCAGATGTCTTGCCCTGTTTGCACTTCCAAAATAGATCTCTCTGTTCTTCTTCTTTTTGCTATTGAAACTATTATCTAGATTCCATAGAAAGAGGGAGAGATTCCTTGTATTGTACTGATATATCTCTATAGCAATGTGTGAGCACCAGTTAGCCAAAAGTGGAGGATGCATGACGGATGGTGCTTTTCTTTTGCAGTGTTTTCTGCTCAGTAGTTTGTTTTTCTGTCTTCTCTCTCACACACATACAATTTTATTGACTGAGTTGGTGGAGGAACTCTTCTTGAGCATAAGGGTGAAGATTTTCAACTGACCCACTTCCTTTTCTTATCCCTGTGCATAAAGGCAACAGTATCAGACCCAGTTCCAATTCCACTGGGAGTCTAGCAAGGTGGACCAGAGCTAAGTATAAGGGAGCTACATGTCCTACCTTTACAGAGCAGAGTCCCCTTTTGGAAGGAGTCCTCTTCTTGAAGGGCTGCCTAGTCCACATTTGTCTTAAACATAAATAACCCTGATAAGGGAGAGCAACAGGGGCCTTGAAGTTGCCCATCAACATTTAGGAGCATCCGGAAAGCAGACTAAGCAGGCAGTTCACCTGTCCATCCTTTCCCCCACTATGGTGAGATACATTTCTGTTTAAGTTAGCTTTGGCATTTATTTCTCAGGCTAGGGTGATCATAAGTCCATCTAAACAGAGAGCAGTCCTCTCTTTTAAACGCTTTCAGGGGCTAGCCCTCCACTGGAAGATGTTGACTGTTTGAAGGACTGACTCATCTAAGTTCAGTTTAAATATCAAGACTGGAGATCAGGAAGAGCATTAAAATTGCCGTCAACGTTGAGACTGATCAGGCAGGTACATGGACCACCTGGAGTCACAATCTTCCCCACTAGGACGAAATGTATGTTTTTGCTCTATTTAAATTATAGCAGTTATTTATAGATTTGCAGCTATATGTATAAAAGAGTGTTTGCAATTCAGTTGTCCATTTCATCCTCTTTTTTGACGATATATGTAAGAGGTGCTGTGAGGTCAGGCAAAGGGCCAGCAGAGCTGGAAGCTGGAACTAAGCTGCGGTATTTATCATTACTTGTTTATTCATCATTACTCATTTGCTTTGGCACTCCCCCACTCCCCCGGGGCTCCAGAACATGCCAAATTTGGTGATGATTTCTCAAGAGGTGCCTGAGCACACAAAAAGCAGACAGACAACCTTCCCAAAATTCCTAGGAAATGCCATTTGAGGAGCGAACCACCTGGTGACGTCCTTATCTCCTGCATGTGCCAGCTCCTCCTGGTTCCATCAGTCCTTGTTCTGAACCTCCACCATTTGAGAGCCTTCCTCCTACTAGGAAGGCACTAAGGAAAACATCGACCCGAGAACATCAGTTGCTTAGCGCCTCTCAGCCTGCTCACTGGTACATTAGAATTCATGGAGGAAGGTTCCTCCATTTCCTCCGGGGTTAGCTGTAAATGGGATTGACTTATTCCCCCCTCTGTGTCATGAAAATGTTTAAAATGTAATAAAATAATAATAAAGAGAGGGGGGGGATTGTGTGACAGTACAAGAGTACCACAGGCAATGGCTGTGCCGTTCTTGGCCTTTCTAATGTTTCCCGGGTCAAAGTCAGTGCTCCGAGCCCTGCTCGGTGTATAGAATGGGATGTAAAAATGTCATTTATTATATTATCTTTACTGTCGGATGGCTTCCTTGAGCAGCAAGGAAGTGGGGCAGATGCTAAGCAGTGGAGGGTGCTGTGCATTTCTATGCAGCTCTTCCCCTGGCTACATTTAGGCTGAGGCACTCAAAATTGTGGCGGACTAAAGGATAACGCTTTGCAAGGCTGCGGGTGCATTCAGATGCGGAGAGTGTTGTGTTAGTTTTCCTGATTATAATGCTAGTGTTTCTGCCCTGTTTTCTAATGTTTCTTTCACACTGCAGTACATTTTGTGTTATGGAACTGTGGCTTTTTGACCAATATACCTGCATGCCACACTAAATTCCATTCACACCTGTGGGTGCGCTGTGATACAACAGCAAATATCAGTGGGCAACATCAATGCTTACCCCACCCTTTCTGCACCCGCGCACTCCTTTCCCCCCATGATTCCCAAGAAAGAACAATATGCCAGTACACTGCCCCAAATTTAGTCACTTTCCTCCCACAATTTTCTGGACAAAGGGGGCTGAAATTGTAACACACACACCTTTGCTGGAATCAAATGACATGGAAATGAGCACTAAATAGTTTTCTAAAGTTGGCCCAGGGCCAGCTTATCCATAGGCACTAGGGGTGTGGGGCACCTGGGCACGGGCTCTCAGGGGCGCCAGGCTGAGAGTTGGGGGCTGAGATTTGGAGTCTGGGGATTGAAGAGCCAGGCCAGCTGACAGCTGCTGCCAAGCAGAGCAGAGTCCGTCGGAACGCCGCAGGTTTTTCTGCTGCGGGTGCAGAGGCAGCCAGCTGGGAAGCTGCTCACATGAGGCATGCATCTTCCCTCCCAAGCCTCTGTGGGGATTGCTCTCCTCCTTCCACCTGCAAGGGCATGGGAGAGAGTTGCGTGCCCCCCCCAAAAGCTCAATAACTTTGGCCTGCCCTCCCCCAAAAAACTGGGGGGGCAGTTTTTTGCACCCCGGCACCGCATATGCTAAAGAATGCCCTGAGTTGGCCTTTGTGTTATGTGAAAGCTCAACTATAATGCAGAAAGTAACTGTTAGGAGAAGGTTGAGGAAATTGAACGAAGTGCTGTGTGAATGTAGCCTGCATGAAAAGCAGAATTGAGCTGAAACCATCTATCCTTTGTCTGGCCATTCATTTTTTGTGGGGAGGGCATTTTTTCCTGTTTCATTTACACTGGCCTCACACCCTTATGTTTATCACAGCCCAATCAAAGGCTTTTTTGAAACAGCTGATGGGCAAATTCATTTGACCTGAGGGCCACATTCCCCTTTGCCAGCCCTCCAGGGTCCACGTGCCAATGGTGTGTGTCTGACCAACAGTGGATGTGGCCAGTCTACACTTTCATTACTCTACCCACTTACTCACACATGTAAGGACACACAAACCCCCCTTCTAAACTGATCCATGCAGATCAGCTGAGGAAAGAATTATCGCTGCTGCTCCTGCCCTGCCATGGAAAACTGTCATCCATATCAAGCTGCTGGCCCAGGTCAAGGGGGCTTCTGTTGCATCTGGTAACTCTAAAAGTGAGAAATTAACAGGAGGTGACATCCCAAAAGGATCTTAGAAAAAGCTGGTCTCTCTCTCACTGGCGTACAAGCACCATCCTTTAGTTTGGAATGTAATCTGCGTCTCCATCACCCATCTGGCCCCTAGAGGTCAGGAGAGGACCTCTGTTGTGGCTCCTGCCAGGGTTCTCCAGCAATTAGCATTCTCCCTGAGTCATGGTAATTAAGCAGAACTAGGCTCTGCACGGAGGAACGGAAATGCATTGACTGAAATGAGACAGAGTGTAAAACAATTTGAGATTAACTCCCAGCTTGTTTATCCATTCGCATTTGTGATTCCGAGAGGGTGTCTACACCCTTCCTGGCCCCCAGAATAGGAGCTTTTACCACAGCAACCAGGGTGCCACCCTTCCTGCAGGACAAAGAGCTTTGGTTCCTCCCATCATTTGAGGAAGGTGGGAATTCTGGCAGGCACAGCTTCATTCTCACAGTGCTGGCAGCAGCAGCAGCAGCAGCAGCATCTTAGGATGGTCTCCTCTCTGCATAAGGCACAGTTGTTCCCCACCTTTCTCAGCCCTTGGAACTCTCCCCAGGCCAAACCCTTTGACGGTCCTGCTCTGCACCCCCCTTGTATCCTTTTGCGTGGCTGGAATGTGCCCTTGAATGTCAATAAGGCAGTTTGCTGGGCTGGAGGGAATACAGCCCAGTGGTACCTCTGGTTGCAAACAGGATCCGTTCAGGAGGCCCATTCGCAACATGAAAAGAGCGCAACCTGCAGCGGCACATCTGCGCACACGTGGGTTGTGATTTGCTGCTTCTGCGCATGTGTGTGATGTTATTTTGTGCTTCTGCGCATGTGTGAGTGGCAAAACCCAGAAGTAACCCTTTCCGGTACTTCCGGGTCACCACGGGACATAACCTGAAAGAACGTAACATGAAGCGGATGTAACATGAGGTATGACTGCAGAAGGATGTATGAAGGTGAAAGGAACATTGATTGCTCCACCCAGGGCTTTTTTCCAGCTGGAACTCAGCGGAACTCAGTTCTGGCACCTCTCAGGTGGACACCATTGCAATCTGAAGAGAATGAGGGAGGCGTTCATGGTGAGTTCTGGCGCCTCTTTTTGTTGGGGGGGGGAATAGCAGTGGCTCCACCTACTTTTGCTTCTGGCCACATTCACCTCTGGCATATGGCCCCTGGGAGATTGCCTGTAAGGAAATGTGGCCCTCAGACTGGAAAAAAAAGTTCCCTCCTCCTCCTCTACCAGTCCAGTACCTTCCCAGACTGAACTGAAACACTAAGTGAGGCAACAACAGCCATCAGTGCCTCTGGATCCCACTTCTGATGTGATAGGTAAGGTAGCAGTAGCTGCAGGAACTTAGTATATGATTCTTTCTTTCTTTTGTGAGTAAAGGAATACAATTTTTCATGCACATATTTTTTTTAAAAAAATTAAGATTGATGCAGAAACAGAGTGGAATGGACCTATGAATACGGCTGTGAATAGCCCATCCCCTCTAAGTTGGGGTCCAATCTGGTACCTTGGGGCACCCTGGTTTCAACTCGGGGTGATCTGGGGCAGCTTCAACCCAATCAAACTGAATCCTGGGTGAACCTGAATTGGTCCCATTCCACTCAGGATCTCATAAAACCATATGCTTACCCATATGCAAAATCGACATGGGCTGTGGTCTATCCCTACTTGGGTGAACAAGTTCATGGGTGAACAAGGGAGTAGTATAAGGAGCAAAATTTCTCATCAAGTTACGCAGTTACGCAGAGAGTCCTCAGCCTGGAACACTGACCGTGAGATGCTACCCTCATGGCAGTCATGGCAGTCCACATTGTGCTGCATGCATCCTGCAAGGACCTTTGAATTGTCTGCATTATCTCCACTAGTACAGGACTGTCCTATCAGCACACCCACCCATAAGTCATGTTGCTGACGGAATACCCCCTTCCCAGAAGGGCCAGCATCCTCCATCATACCCAAGGGGGCAGGCTAGATTAGAAGGTGGAGAATGGAGTGTGTGGCACACACAGCTTTGTCCTACAACACCTTGATGCTACACTACCCACCTGCAAGCATCTGCCATGTAAGGCAGGCTCCTTGTTCTCCCTAATAGGAGAGTTGGCGGTAGGACAGCTACCATCCATTCACTCTTAGTGAGAAGGGTATTAGAGGCAGAGTCCTCATTCTTGAGACTGACTCTATTGCATTCTCCCCCACTTTCATCCCCAGAAGAAGTGTCATCTTCAAGAGATAGGAATCTGCCTTATACTGAGTCAGACCATTGGCCCATCTAGCTCAGAATAATAATAATAATAATAATAATAATAATAATAATAATAATTTTATTTATAACATGCCCTCCCCAGCCAGAGCCGGGCTCAGGGTGGCTAACACCAGTAAAATTACAATAAAAACATAATGGGGGGGGGGAGGAACCAATTTAAAATACAGGTTGAAATACAATTTAAAAAGCAGCCTCATTTTAATAATAGCCCATAGATCAAAACCATAAGGGGAGGGAAACATAAGGGTCAGACTGAGTCCAAACCAAAGGCCAAGTGGACCCTGCAGAAAGATGTTAGGTACCACAGGGCCCTAGTCTCTTGTGACAGAGCATTCCACCAAGTTGGGGCCAGTACTGAAGAGGCCCTGGCCCTAGTTGAGACCAATCTAACCACCTTGCAACTTGGGACCTCCAAAACGTTGTCCTCCGCGGGGCATACCAGGAGATGATAATAATTTTTTATTATGGTCAGAGACCAGCTTGTAAAACACATAATGGGACTGAATTCCCAAAAGCAAAGCAGACATTTAAAACAATATACAGCAATGGCTTACATGTTTAAATATGTGCTAAATGAGCAAACACATAATATCTTTGGGAAAAGCGACTATAGGAAATTGGCCCAGAGTCACCCGTGTATGGGGATTTTCTTGACGGACTAATTTTTATCAGGGGATGGTCTGTGCCTACAGATCTGTAGACAGAATCTGGCGACTGTCCGGGTCCTCTTATGATCTTAAAAGGAGAAGATCGAATTTGTGTTTTTCCAGGAGGTCAGCAAGCCTCTTCAGCAAGTATCTACCTCAGCATTGTCTACTGGCATCAGCTCTCCAGAATTTCAGGCAGCAGCCTCTTTTAATCCTACCTGGAATCTAGAA